AAACCCAACTTTAATCCTAGTCCCTTAGACACACAATCAAAAGAAAGTTGTAACAACTGTACATAGTTACATCGAAAGGAATCGACCGTAGTCGATAGGATGGTATATCCAATCTGAAATGATAAAAAAAAAAAATTGAGTCATCATATGAAACATCCAATAATACAATATCAAAATAAACCCCGACCACCTTGGGTCGAACTCCACAAAACAATCATACAACCCGTCAACGAGGAGTTGGCTACTGACAATAATCTTGATGCAGCCGACAAGGTAGTCGGACCGCCTCAGTTTTGACTTGATGAGACGCGCCGCCAAAGTCGCTCTTTCTCACCTACCGGCGACCTAAGATTCAACACACATACCTGTCTTCATGCGTTTCTAATCTTTTTGGATGACAAGCTGCTTTGCGAATGATTCTTGATCAGGGGCATTGCTTGAAGTGTTGCATGCCTCTCCCTCTAGGAAGTGGTCTGGGNAATCTTTTTGGATGACAAGCTGCTTTGCGAATGATTCTTGATCAGGGGCATTGCTTGAAGTGTTGCATGCCTCTCCCTCTAGGAAGTGGTCTGGGTAACTCCTCCTCGTCCGAGCACAAGACTCGGATCTCAGAAGTCAGGTCGCTTCCATCGAATCGGCAAAGTACCCCCCCATAGAACGGTCCACTCCGGGTCAATAGCAGGGTCGACTCTTGAAGCCCTAGATTCTTCCTAGAGAGAGAACATATCCAACCCAAGTAGATTTCACTAGTTTTTTTTTTTCTCCTAAGTTCAGGGTAGCCAAGCGTATCTATACTACAGCGAACAAGCAAACGCCCTCGGTTGATCTACCTCTGCCATTGCATTTAAAAGCTTTCGCACGTGGGTCAGTAGCTCGATAGGGATACGCCCCTAAGGGTGGTGACAGCCCCTTAGGGAAGATAAGATGCGCCCCGCAGGAACCTATCCTGTCGCAGGGGACCGCGGGAAGTACAGCTGGTGCACCCGGCTAGAGCGACGAAGGGACGACGCAACCGCGATCGTCTGGGCGGTCTGCGGGATTATTTATGCGTCGTCTCCGAGTTGTCTCTGTTTTTATTTATGTTTTACTCCTGTGTGACATGGTCGAGAGGGCTCCCGCGCTTTGCAAAAAGGTGGGAGCCGATGCGCTCGACACCGCAATCTCTTTTATGTTGAGGATCATTCCTCTGGCCCCGTGCTGCAGCAAGACAATTTACCAACACTCTGCGACCTTCTCCTTTGCATAGTCACAAACACTGTTACACTCGGTTGTAGCTGCCACCGTCTCTGTCAGAGGCACTACAATGACATGGTTTTTGCATCCATGTGTGCAGAGGACTGTCCCACCGATCCTGACTGCAGGCACCGTCCGCATCCGGACACTATATGTCCATTTTGCGGCCATGGGCACTATGCTGAATGCATGCTTTTTTGTGGTGATCGTTCTTCTTTCATTTTAACCTGCAATCGACATGCCATTTGGCGGGGGTGTATGATGGGCATGCTCAATGCCACCCGTCGTGGCAATTGTTGCACTGAGAATGCTCAGCTAGGTCTTCCATGTGTTCATCCACGTCATCCTTACAATGTATGTCCTCTCTGTCCTCAAGGACAGACTCATTCTTGAGCCTTTTCTTATCCTCTTTTGCCTTCATCTTCACTCCACACTCCATACTTTCCCTTACTTTCCCTTTATCGTTCTTTGTTTGTTTGCTCTCCATCTCTCCTCCCTGTGTTTATCCCCTCCCCCTTCACTGTGCCTCTTTCTTACAGCGTACAAGTGGGCAGTTATGGCACACGGGGATGGGGGCAGCTCGCGCGCAACTTCATCAACGTGGTGAGCCTTGTACGTGAGAGGCACGGTGAAAGAGAAGTCAAAAGAAGAATGAGAAAAATGAATGGTTTCATTGTGCCCTTTATGTTTGTCTTGTTTTTTTTTATTTTTAATTTTTGTCGTTTGTTTCACAAATTGCGCTCTTTTAGTTCATAGTTATGTGACAATATATATGAGTCGGTGAAACTCCGACGAAACAGTTTGTCACAGCCCCTCGTTTGTTGTCCTCTTCTCTCTCTCTGCCTACGATTTTACCGGGCAGTTCTGTTTGTGACGATATATATATATACACACTCGGTTGTAGCCGCCATCATCTCTGTCACAATCACTACAATGACATGGTTTTTGCATCCATGTGTGCACAAGACTGTCCCTCCGTTCCTGATTGCATGCACCCTCCGCATCCAGACAGTAAATGTCCATTTTGCGATCATGGGCGCTATACTGAATGCATGGTTTTTTGTGGTGA